GGCGTCATCCGAAGTTTAACACGAGTATTCAGACCCTCAACTGATAAATTTCTTCAGTAAACTTCTCTATCGACTTACGATGTTGAATTATCTCTCTGTAGAAATTTGAAAATATCTTCATAGTATTATAAACCAGACGGGAGAAATTTTTTTCTATATCTTTACATTTTTTTTCTTATAATATTTCAAGTAAAATATAAAAATTGTAAAAATTATCAAAATTATAAAAATTGTAAAAATTATGAAAAATATAAAAATTATGAAAATTATGAAAATTATGAAAATTATGAAAATTATGAAAATTATGAAAATTATAAAAATTAGAATAATTATAATAGTTACAATAATCTTCTTCAATTTTTCAATTATGAAAGATAATAATCTTCTATAGAAGGTGGTGAAAATTCTATAGAACACAATAATCTTGTATACAAAAAGGGTGATAAAAATTCTCTAGAAGATAATAATCTTCAACGAAAGATAATAATCTTCTACAAATGATGCTAAAAATTCTATTGAAAATAATAATCTTCTTATATAATCTATAATATTCTCTGTTTTATAAAACCAGAAAAATACCTCGTCAAATTTAATTAAAATACAGTTATTTTCGTATATACATGTAAGGGTTGCAAAAAAAGGGGCGTGAGGGACACAAAAGGAGAAATACTATACAAAAGGAAGAAGGTTATTAATTTACTAGCTAGGCCCGGTATATTCATATTTTCATTTTAGTCCCTGTCGAGAGTAAAATATTCCCTCCCACTGCTCTTTTTAGACCATTCTTTAAATTTTCATAAGCACATTTGTTGCTCCTCATTTCTTTTAAAAAGCCCTTTGAAAATTTTCCGCAAGACTTTTTAACTTTTTATATTAAAAACTTTCGGTTTTTTTTTTCACTTTCTTGTTGATTAAATGTTTTAATAAACATTATTTATATTAAAATAGGGAAAAAAAAAAAAATTTTTTTTCTGTGTATAATGAAAAGAAAAAAGGCGGGGGAGAATACATTTTTTTTCTGGCGGCAAAGAGAGAGAGAGAGATGAAGCTACAAATCTTGCGCCAGATTGTATATTTCGTCAATGTCGTCACACACCCCCCCCCCCTCCCTCCTCTTTCCTCATGCTGAGTGAAAAAAAAGAGAAAAAAAGATCTTTTGTGTATCGTTTGAGACTTGAATCGAGACCCATCCTTAATATGAAACCCTCTCTAAAATAAATGGTTATGTTTTTATAAAGACAATAAAGCTCCTCCTATCCATCATACATGTTCATATCGGCATATCCATTGAATTTAATATTGAAATTGTATTTTATTATTTCTTATTTTTTTCAAAAGGTTTTTAAATTTTTTGTACTTTTTTTTATATTTTAGATTCATTTTTATATTTTTGATTTAATTTTATATTTTAGATTCATTTTTTTTTATGTTTTATACTCACTTTTATATTTTAGATGCAATGTTTCATATTATATATTCATTTTTGTATTTAAGATTAATTTTTATTTTTTATATTCATTTTCAGATTTTATATTCGTTTTTAGATTTTATTTTTAAAATAGAGATAAATTATTTTTCGCAAACTGAAAAAATTGTTTTGTTGACTGAAACATATTTTTTCTTAATAATAAACTTTTTCTGCAAGAAAGTTATTTTTTTTGCATTAATTATTATCAATTATTGATAAATAATTATTACTTAGCTATATTTATTATTACTGTTCCAGCGAACAAAATTTAGTTGAACCCAAGAAAATGTATTTTGAAACGAATAATATTTAATTTGAACCAAATAAAATTGATTTGAAACAAATTTTATTTTAATTAAATATTTATTTAACTGCGTGATAAACGTGTATTTGTCCCAAAACGTACAAAAATTTTTTTTTTGTTATGAATATAAAATTTTATTTGACACACAAAATTTTTATTTGAGACAACCCGCAGGTGGAAAGGTTCAATCTCGAGAAATTGTCGGGAATCTTCGGGTATTTCCCAAAAGTGAAAAATACAAAGGAATTAAGAAAATTCCTTTTGTTTTTTTCACTTCCGGGAATTTCCGGGGAGAGTTCAGAAAATTTCTCTGTCTAATTCTTTGTTCTAATTTGAACAAAGAAAATTTAATTTGAAAGAAGAAAAAATGTATTAGAAAAAAATTTTCTTTGAATCAAATATAATTTATTTGAGTCAGATAAACATGCATTTCTCCCAGAACCTACTAAATTGTTTTTTTTTGTTTTAAATACAAATTTTTATTTGACATAAACAAAATTTTTTATTTAAGACAAACAAAATTTACTTGAACCGAAATTCAATTTGAACGAAACAAAATTTATTGAACCGAAAAGAATTTAATTTAAACGAAGCAAAATTCAATTTGAAACAAACAAAATTTATCTGAACCAAAGGAAAATTTAATTTAAAACAAAAAAATTAATTAGAAACAAATTTTCTTTGAATCAAATATAAATTTTATTTGAGTTAGATAAACGTAAATTTCATTTAATAAGACAAAGAAATTTGAACCAAATAAAAATTACTTGAACCATAAAGAATTTAATTTAAACGGAAACAAAATTTATTGAACTAAAAAGAATTTAATTTGAACAAAAGAAAATATAATTTGAATCATATAAAATTTATTTGTAACAAATTTTATTTGCATCAAATGTAATTTATTTCAGTTAGATAAATGTATATATTTGTCTCGGAGCCTTATTTATTGGTTTTAAATTAAAATTTTTATTCCACATAAATGAGATATTTATTTTTTGAACTAAACAAACTTTAATTTTAACCAAAGAAAATTTAATTGCAACGAAAGGATATTTTATTTAAAACAAATTTTATCTGAATTAAATTTAATGTATATTTGAGTAAAATAAACGTGAATGTAACTCAGAATCTATAATACATTTTTCATTTCTTTTAAACAAAAATTTTCATTAGACAAAAAGAAAATTTTTATTTGAACCCAACAGAATATATTTCAACCAAATAAAATTTATTTCAATGAAGTTTTTTTCTAATTATATTTTTTTGAATCAAATTTTATTTGAAACAAATATATAATTTGTTTGAATCAAATAAACTTGTATTTTCCATTTTGAAAATTTCCTGGGAATTTCTCGAAAATATGAAAAAATTTTTTTGTATTCATCTGATTGTTCACTCTTGAGAAATCCCATGGAACTTTCTCACGTGGTTTGTCTCATTGTCAGTGTCAAATAGTTAATTTGTTTTAAATAAAAATTTTCATTGGATAGAAACAAAATTTTTATTTCAGTTTAATAAAATTTATTTTGAACCCAACAAAATTGACTTGAACTAAATAAAATTTGTTTAAATGGAACTTTTTTTGAATCAAATTTTTTCTTAATCAAATTTTATTTTAATCAAATTTTATTTGAATCAAACATAGTTTATTTGAATCATATAAAAATGTATGTGTCTCAAAACCTACTAAATAGTTCATTTGTCTTAAAAAAATTTTTTCATTTGATAAAAACAAAATTTACTTGAATCAAAGAGAATCTAATATGATACCAAAAAAATGTACTTCAACCAAAGAAAATTTAATTTTAATTTTAATTTAATTTTAATTTTAACCATGTAAAAATTATTTGAAAAAAATTTTATTTGAATCAAATATAATTTATTTGAGTCAGATAAAAGTATATTTGTCTGAGAGCCTTATAAATTTTATTTATTTAAATGAAAATTTTCATTCAATACAAACAAAATTTTTAGTTCAAACAAACAAAATTTTCTTGCACCAAAGAAATATTATTTCAATAAAACAATATTTATTTAAAACAAAATCCATTTGAATCAAGTATAATTTATTTCAGTTACATAAGCGTATATTTGCCTCAGAACCTATAATTTATTTGTATCAAATAAAAATTTTCTTTGAAAATAAAGTTTTTATTTGAACCGCAAACATAATTTAGTTTAAACCAAATAATTATTATCATAATCATGATTATCTGCATTAGTTATGAATTATTAGTAAATAATTATTCTTTACACACCGGAAAAAGATATACTTGACTCAGAGAACACTGAAAAAAATTTATTTCATTCAAAAAATTGATTACTTGACTATTTTATCAATTGAATATTTACTTGAATCAAATAATTTGTATTTGAGTCAATTAATGTATAATTTGAGTCACACATTTATAATTTTTTCAAATTTAATTCTTTTGGGTTCAATAATTTTTTTAGGTTTAACTGCTTCAAATACTGAAATTATTGGTTCAAATACTATTTAATTTATTTAATTAAAAATTAAAAATATAAATAAATAAATTCTATTAATTAATAATATTAATTTTAATAATTAATTTTATTGAATAAAATTTTAAATAAAAATTACTTGATTCAAATAAATATTTATTTGATAATAACCATGTAGTCGGTTACTTGAATCAAATAAATTTTTGTTTCAGTGTATATCATCCTTTTGTTTCAAATAATTTTTATTTGCTTCAAATAAAATTTGGACCAAATTTTTTATTTAGTTGAAAGAAAATTTTATTTGCAATTGATTTATAGATAGATATTTACATTGTTTTTTATTCTTCTGTTAATGTTAGTGATATTAATAATTAATAATTAATATTATTAATAAAAGTTAATATTATTATTAATATTGTTGAGATTGTACATTAAATAATCGAAAATGTTTTTATTTTGAAAAATATAAAATTTTGCAGTGGGGACAAGAAAGGCGAACTCAATTGTCGAATAGAAAATTACCATTCCGATGGGTGTTGTCATTGCGGAATGGAAAAATGCCGTTCTGCCAATGACAATGTAATTCGTTATGAAAACTATTATTCTTTGCTGAGAAAGGATGCAATTGTACCTGCCTCCAAGTGTTCATGAGTGGCTAATTTCCACTTTGCACTTGTACCCAAAATTTAGTGGTGGTGGGGGCGTAAAGGGTATATAAGAAGGCGCCAGGTACTTGCAAAAACCAAAAATCTCTTTTCTCTCCGAAAGGTGGTCATTAAGCACTGTAATCTCTCTCATTGCTTATTTCTTGTCTAAAACTCAAATCGTCAACTCCTCAAGTTTCAAAAGTTTACACTTGTGTCTTTTTTGAAACATCTTGAAAATTTCTTGAAAGTTTTAAAGTTTTCTTTAAACTCTTCCTTGCAATTCACAACATTTGCTTGCAATTCTCAAAAGTTGTTTTCAATTTGAAATTTCTTTCGAAAAAAAAGTGTCAGTGATTGGAAATATGTATTCGAAAATGGCAGCAAAATCAAAATCATCATCATCATCAGCAGCAGCAGCAGGAGCAGCAGCAAGAGCTGAAGCAGGAGCAGAAGCAGTGCCATCAACATCATCCTCAACCGGGAGAATGCCGTACACCAGCAATTTGGGCAGCTCTGAGTTCTGTCTTCCCTGGAGTCAGGAGGCTTATAATTTTGGAAGCTTCACGACAACGCCTGCATTTCAACCGGACAATAATTCAATTTTCGATCAAGGATTGAACTTCTTTTGCCCTGATTTGATGACATCTGATAATTCGAGGACTGATGCTGAGATCATTCGTGTGGAGAAAAACTTTTTGGAGCAAGCCGAAATACTCGAGAAGGCGATTGAAAGAATTCGTAAGTATTTATAATGTTCATTTCTTTTTATTTTCTTGTCAAATTTCGAACAAATGCAAATTTTTACTTTAACTTTACAAATGCAACATTTTTTATTCGTTTTTTGACTCAATTTGATATCTGCAGAAAAACTGTGAATTTTTTTGTAATTTGATTGTAAATTTTGAATCTAAACTTTTTCATTTCTTAACTTTTTCATTTCATCAAAACGTTTGCTTCGAAACACTTTTGATTCGTTTTTTTTTTGTCTCAATTTTATATCCTTAGAAAAACTGTGAATTTCTTAATTTGATTGTAAATTTTGAATCAAACCTTTTTCATTTCTTAACTTTTTCATTTCTATTTGTCAAATTTAACATTTTTACTGTATTTTTCACAATATGAGTAACTATGTTTTTGAAAATTTGTATTTTAAACCGATTTCGTATTTTTGCTTATTTTCCATAATAAGATTAAATATATTTTTAAAAATTTGCATTTGAAACCGATTTAACATTTTTACTTATATCTTCCATAATATGATTAACTACAATTTTGAAAATTTACATTTGAAACCGATTTTTGAACGTAGCCAAATTTTGCCAATGTTCGATTTTTCAAAAATGTCCTTCTGATCAAAAATTTCAAGTCATATTTGCTGTTTATTCTAATTTTTTTGGTGTCAAATATAATTTTCTTGTCAAATTTGGTCGAAATGATACTTTTAGTCGACTGCATTTTGACCTAATTTTAAAATGTTTGTTTTTCTACTTTATAAACCTAAATTTGCTCTCTAAATCTAAATTCGTTAAAATTTTAACTTATCTAAATTTATGATTGACTTTTTGCTTTAAAATCTGTTAAAATTCACTGATTTATTGGTAGAAAAAATTTTTACTGTTGTAAATCGGTAAATTTTGAATGATACAAAAGCAAAAATGCCAGTTCTGATTGAAAAAAGTTGAAATTATTTTAAGATTTGAAAAATTAGTAAAATTGTATTTAAAAAGTAAAATCTACTCTTATACAGCTTACAAATTTGACCTAATTTTTCAAAAATCGATTTTTTTGTCCTTATTTTGTTAATATTATTTTGTTTTAAAAATATTGCTATATTTTGTCATGCAAACGATCAACAAGTACAATTGACCTAATTTTTGTAAAACACATTTTAATCTTGACCTAATTTTGAGTAAAATTTAAAGTTACATTTGTTTTTTCGACTTATTTAATTTATTTTCGAGAGAATTCAAAAAATTGTTTTCGATTCATTTAAAACTAAAAGATACTTTTGACCAAAATTTAAAGTTATATTTATTTTTTTGTCCCATTTAATTCTATTTTTGAAAAAATCAAAAAATTCTTTTCTTTTTGATCTACATTTGATGTTACTTTTGTCGTTTTACCCAACTAGACCGAAAATTTAATTTTTTGATTCTTGTTTTGGGAAAATTCAAAAGTTGTTTTTCTTTTATTTAAAATTTGAAATTACTTTTACCGTTTGACCTAATTTCAAATAAATTTGAAGTTAAATTTGTTATTTTGACCCATTTGATTTCATTTTTGAGAGAATTTAAAAATTGTGTTCCATTTACTCAAAATTTAAAGATTAAATTTTAAATTTAAATGTTATTTGTGTTTGACCTAATTTGACCTAAATTAAAAGTTATATTTGTTTCTTCGTCCCATTAGATTCTATTTTTGAAAAAAATCAGAAATTCTTTTTCTTTTATTCTAAATTTTAATTTACTTTTGTCGTTTGACCTAACTTGACCTAACTTTACAGTTAAATTTGTTTTGCTGTACCATTATTTGGTTTTTAATTTTAAATATTTTAAATTTGTTTTCTTATATAAGTTTAAATTTTAAAGTTACGTTTCCCTTTTGACCTAATTTTACCTAAATTTATAGTTATATTTATTATTTCCCTCTATTTTTTGTTTCCTTTTTTTCTAAATTTAAAGTTACTTTTGCCTTTTAACCTAATTTTACCTGAATTTAAAGTTAAATTTCTCTTTTCATCCTATTATTTTTCGTCTATTTGTTTATTATTCAAAAATTATTTTCCTTTTTTTCTAAATTTAAACTTAATTTGACCTAAATTTAAAGTTAAATTTATTCTTTCTTACCCTTTTTGTTTCTATTTCTTGATCTCCTTTCGTTTTCAATTGTGACGTGTCTTTGGACGATTGACCTAAATTGACCTAAATATAATGTTACTTTCTCTTTTTATCCCATTATTTTGATTCTATTTTTAAAGAAATTAAAAAATTGTTTCCTTATTCTTGAAATTTGAAGTAATGTTTGTTTTTTGACCTAATCTGACCTAAATTTAAAGTTTTGTTTGACTTCTCTTCCCATTACTGTGATTTTAATTTTAAAATCTTTCAAAAATTGATTTTTTTCATTCTAACTTTGAAGTTAAATTTTCTGTTTGTTCTAATTTCATCTAAATATAAAGTCATTCTTTCTGTCCCCTTATTTTTATTCTATTTTTTATATCGTTTTTCTCTAAATTTAAAGTTACTTTTGACCTAATTTGACCTGAATTTAAAGTTACATTTTTCCTCTCTTGACATTACTGTAAATTTAATTTTTTAAATCATTAAAATATTAATTTTCTTTTAAACTAACTTGAAACTTACACTTGCCGTTTGACCTAATTTGACCTGAATTTAAAGTTACATTTTTTCTCTCTTGACATTACTTTAAATTTAATTTTAAAATTATTAAAAAATTGTTTTCGTTTTCTACTAAATTTAAAGTTACTTTTGCCATTAGATCTAATTTGACCTAAATTTAAAATTAAATTTCTCTTTCCGTCGCATTATTTTTTGTCTATACGCAGAATATTCAATAATTGTTTTCCTTTTATTTTAAATTTTTAATTTACTTTTATTTTTTAACCTAATTTGACCTGAATTTAAACTTAAATTTCTCTTTTCGTTTCATTATACCCAATTTACTTTTGAGATTATTCAAATTTTTGTTTCATTTGATTTAAATTTGATATTACCTTTGCTGCTTGACCTAATTTTTGATTTTTTAGTCTCTAATATGCTGTACTTTTAAAAAGTTTGTTTTACCCAAATTAAAAGTAACATTTTGACCTGTGACTTTGACCTAATTTTTGATACTACGTCACTCTAGACTTTATTTTATTTCCTTTTTATGTTACTCGCTTATTTTGTTCGCAAATTTTGACCTAAAGTTATGTCATTTTTAAACAAAAGAATTTGGCTCGTAAAACAATAAACAAATCTGTTTTGCACAAAATTTTTTCTGTAAAATTTGTCTTGTTTATTTCAAAAATAACTAAATAAGAAAATATTTACTAAATAAATCTACTAAACAATTTTAACTTTTAACCTTTCGTTTGAAAATACTTTACTGGATACTAAACATTTATTTTCTAATTTCAGCAACGATAATTCAAAAAGAAGCAGTGATGCAGCTCAACGACATGGCAGAAGCAACCAACGAGGAGTCGGATGAGGCACGAGCATCAACACCAGTCACGCGTGAAATTATTGATACCAACAATAATTCTTTGAAGGATGAAAAATTATTTGTAAATATAGAGCAGGAATTATATAAAATTAAAGCTGAATTAGATTTAGACAACTCGGCGAATCCTTCAAAAGAAACTGCAACGACTTCAAAACAAACTGGAACGACTTCAAAGCAAAATTCAACGACTAATGTTAGGGCTGAGCCGAAAATTAAGAAACCAGTACTTAGAAATAAAAGTAATATTCCACCTGTTCTGCACTTTAATGGCTATCAAAATTATTTTGAATGGCAAATGATGATGTTAAATAATTCGTTAATGAATCATCATTTGGGTCAATTTAACAATAATTATCTTCCATTCACTAGAGCCAATGTCATTGACGTTCATCATTATCATTATCCAGAACATTTATTTGAACAAATTTTCCCAAAAAATCCAGAAACACACATTGGTTATAGTCCTGAGTATATTGCTCAACAAGCTTGTTCAATGGGTATGCCAATTTGTGATGAAAATATTTTTTCACCTGAAAGTCTCCAAGCTAATTTAATGATGGGACCTAATGGTCAACCACAATTCCCCACAATGCTTCATCATTTTAAAGTGCCAGAGCATTTGCAGGAGGTATTGAAAACCAAAACTTTGATTCTAAAACAAGTTTGTTCTTGTTGAATGTGAATTCATAAAAAAAAGAGATAAAAGAGAGGAGAAAAAATTTGTAAACAAAGGGATAATTTAATATTTATTTAATTTATTAATTGATTGATCATTTTCTCAGTCTCGAAAAATAGCTTTTTTTATGCAGTTGATATTTGTGTAAATGGGCTTGCAATATATTTAATCCATTAGATATATAAGTACAGATTAGAAAGGATATTTTATCTACGAATTGTATGTTAACCAGCAGAATTACTTATAATTAATTAATAATTATAATTTTATTTATATACTCTACATATGTTAATTTGCATTTTAGAATTTAATTTCCTATATTTTTATATTCATAATTTATGTACTACGCAATTTGTATTTTTGCAAATGACAAAAAAAAATATAATATTTTTGCTTGTAAAATTGGTTTTTCTTTATTTGTTCTTACACTTCTGAATTTTTTTCAATCTAAAAATATATATTTCTACTGTAATTATAATTACAGGCCTCGGATATTAACATTACAATTATTATTGCAATAATTTTTAGTATAAAATGCAACTTATTTTCAAAAATTTACAATTCAAAAGATTTTACATAAATATTGAAATTTTGTAAAATTTAATTGAAAATAATTGATTTTTTTTAAAGTGTTTTATACAAATTTTTGAAAATCAACTTTTGTAGAATTTTAATTGCAAATTTTGAAAATAATTGAAATTGAATTTCTCGGAAGAATTTAATTTTTAAAAATATTTTTTAATATATTTTGAATAAATTCAATTATTTTCCAACATTTTTAATAATTTCTTCGACACAATTCAACTATTTTTATAAATACTAAATAAATTTTTAAAATTTACAATAAAAAAAGAGTTTCAATAATTGAAATTTTGTTAAGTTTAATTGAAAATAATTTACTTTTTTAAGTGTTTTATATAAATTTTTGAAAATCAACATTATTTAAAGAATTTTAATTGAAAATTTTAAAAATAATTGAAATTGAATTCCTCGGAAGAATTTAATTTTTAAAAATATTGTTTAATATATTTCGAATAAATTCAATTATTTTCTAAAATCTTAATAAATCTTTCGAAATAATTCAATTATTTTTATAAATGGCAAAATTCTTCGCAAGAATTCAATTTTTCAAAACATCTTTAATTGAATTTCTCGGAAAAATTCAAATATTTTCAAATATTTCTATAAAATTCAATTATTTTCTAAAATTTTTAATAATTTCTTCGACTCAATTCAACTATTTTTATAAATATTAAATACTAAATAAATTTTCAAAATTTACAATAAAAAAAGTGGTTCAATAATTGAAATTTTGTAAAATTTAATTGAAAATAATTGAATTTCTTAAAGTGTTTGATAAAAATGACTGAAAATCAACTTTTGAAGAATTTCAATTGCAAATTTTGAAAATAATTGAAATATTGAATTCCTCGGAAAAATTTAATTTTTAAAAATATTTTTTAATATATTTTGAATAAATTCAATTATTTCCTAAAATTTTTAATAATTTCTTCGACACAATTCAACTATTTTTATAAATACTAAATAAATTTTCAAAATTTACAAAAAAAAAAAGTTTCAATAATTGAAATTTTGTAAAATTTAATTGAAAATAATTGATTTTTTTAAAAATGTTTTATACAAATTTTTGAAAATCAACTTTTGAAGAATTTTAATTGCAAATTTTGAAAATGATTGAAATTGAATTCCTCGGAAGAATTTAATTTTTAAAAATATTTTTTAATTTATTTCGAATAAATTCAATTATTTTCTAAAATCTTAATAAACCCTTCGAAACAATTCAATTATTTTTATAAATGACAAAATTCTTCTCAAGAATTCAATTATTTTCAAAACATCTTTAATTGAGTTTCTCAGAAGAATTCAAATATTTCTATAAAATTCAATTATTTTTTAAAATTTTTAATAATTTCTTCGACACAATTCAATTATTTTTGTAAATACTAAATAAATTTTCAAAATTTACAATAAAAAAAGAGTTTCAATAATTGAAATTTTGTAAAATTTAATTAAAAATAATTGATTTTTTTCAAAGTGTTTGATAAAAATTTCTGAAAATAAACTTTAAAGAATAATTTTAATTGCAAATTTTGAAAAAAAAGGTTTTTCAAAAATTTTAATGAAAAATCTTCAAGTGAAAATTTAAAAATGGTAATTAATGAAAATTAGGATCAAAAAAATTATATTAAAATATTTTTGAAAAAAATAATTCTTAAAATTTTTTGCATTCTAATTTTTTAAAATTCAATTATTTTCAATATTTTCAAATACAAATTTCCAAAAATTCAAATACGTACAAAAAATAATAAAATGAAAATTTTTTACAATTACTTTTAACAATTTAACAACATATGACTTTTTTAGATTTATTAAAATTTTGGAGAAATTGCGTTTATATTAATAATTAAAATTCTTTAAAAATTCAATTATTTTTTTAATAGAATTTACCAATTTCCAATTGTTTGGAAATTTTTCAATTCTATATAATTGAAAAACTATTATCTTTCATAAATTATTAAAAAAATATTTTTGAAAAATTAATTTTAAGAATTTCTTTATAATAATTTTTTGAAAATTATTTAAGAACTTAAAAAACTGAATTTTTGTATTTAAATAATAAATCTGTTTATATTGTGACCTTGGGTCACAATATAAACAGATTTATTTAACAAAAATTAAGGTCCTAAAAACATTCTAAGTTGTATTTAAATAATTGAATTCTCTATGAACTTTCGGAAAATTATTAAAAATAATTGATTTCGAGAAGAAGTTTGATTAAAAATTGTAGAAAATAATTGAATTTTAAGAGAATTGAAGTTGTAATTTTTAGAAGTCATTAAATTTCAGAAGGTTTTAAATAGAAATTTTTAAAATTTTATTCCCGTATAAAAACAAAAAAAAAAGTATTTAAATATTTATTTAATGAAATTATTCAAGTTTTAAAATGTATTAAATTTAGAAATCAGTGAAAAATCAGAAGAATAAAAAATAAAACTTTTGTGACGACACTGAATTAAATAAACGACTTTTTCGACTTTTTTGTTTTTTCTATTTTTAATTGACTAAAGCGACTTTTTTTGCACCTTAAAGTCGATCCGAGGCCCTGTAATTATTAAAAAGTAAAATTTTCTCTGTTTTTGTCACTCAGGCAGTCGATTATGTTATTTAATTTTTACTTTGACTTTCATTTTCACTTTCTATTTGAAAGAATTTTATTGTTTCCACAAGGCAGCATTTTTTACCAAAAATTTTCAATCTCGATTTTTTGACATATCTTTATATTTTTTGACATCAGCAACTCAAAAACTACTTTTTAAAAAAATATTATTGTAGAAAATTGAATGAATGTGAGAATCTTATCCCTCTGTAAAATATGTGGAAAATTTATTTTAAATAAATTTTGTTGCCAGTGTAAATAAAATAAAGAGAAAAAGATCGAAAATTTTCCATTTTTGTATCACAAAGATATTGTGAAAATTTAATTTTGAATTTTTGTATTTGTAATTTTATAGCAACATGTAACATGGGGTTTGAAGTCGAGTAACGAAGCGACAGCTGTTCCTGGGTTGGTGTGCTATATACGATTGTCTCGCTCTTGATGATTGATGATCATTCGGGGTAGCTCCTGCCACCATTGACTCTCTTTTATCTCTTTTCCGCTCTCTGTATTTGGATAATTTCTTCTCTTTTCTCCCCCCCACTCTTTCATCTTTTTTTTTCAAAGAATTACAATTAAAATTTCTTTTTCTTCGAACCCTCAAAAAATTGGTGACAATTACTTTCTTTCTGGTTATTGACCTCAATTTAAAAGAAAAAAATAATACTGATAATTGAATGAAGATATCTAGAAAATGATGTTTTTTTTCTTCTTAAGAATTCTTTCTTTCACAGCATTAGCGAAATTTTTATTTGTTCCATAGACTTTTGCTAGTTTAGAGAAACTTATCGCTGTTCCAAGTGAAATTTTTCTTCCATGTATAAGAAAGTTATATAATTGAAATTTGTATTTAATTAATTAATTTTAAAATTTAAAAAAAAACTATTAAATTCAATTTTATAAAGAATTGATAATTTTAATATAAATTTGAAATTTTTGTTCAATTGAATCGGAGAATAGAAATTTTAATAACATTTAAAAAAATAAAATTTTATACTAAACTTTGGTTAATAGAAATATTCTGATTAGGAAATAAAAAATGAATTAGAAAATTTTTTCTGAAAGTATACACACCGACAAGAAAAAGTTGATATGGAGGAAAAATTATTTTTGCAAAGTGGTACAAGAGGAAAAAAAATCTCGCAAAAGATTCGCTATAAGAAAAAATGTGTCGCTTGTCATATAGTTGAAATGCACGCGGGAATTTTTGTCCTGCGGTGTTTTGCAATGTCAACATAAAGCATATATCTCTGTTGCTTTTCCTCTTTTCGGATAACATTATATCTCTTTTACATGCAAAAAATGAAGAACTTGAGGTCTTATATATAATACACTATTATGTAGTACACAACATATACATATATATACAATTGCGATAACTCAACTCCAGTTTTCTTTTCTATGTATACTTTCTTCTCCCATATGCTTATTTCTGTTAGGATTTTCTCTATCTTTTTTCCTTTTTTTCCTTTTTCTCTTTTTTCTCCTTTTTTTTTGTTGTTTCCCCTTTTTCTACTTTTTTACCTTCTTCTCCCTTTTCCACCTTTTTTTAAAATTTTTAGCAATTTTTTTTCAAAACTTTAAATAATTTTCTAAGAACCAAAAATTTAAAACCATTTTTTCACTTTCTTCTATTTTTTCTGGCTTATTTCAAACTTTTAATAATATTTGTTAAGAATCTAAAATTTAAAACCCTCTTTTTCTTCCTTTTTTATTTTCTTTCTATTCAATTTTAAAGTTGTAATATTTTTTTTAAAAACAAAATTTTAATACCCTTTTTTCCCTATTTTTCCTTTTTCCTATTTTTATCACGTTTTCTTTTAAACTTTCAATAACTTTGTCAAAATAAAAATCTCAAACCCTTGTTTGACATTTTAACATTTTGACATTTTCGACATTTTCTTTTCAAAGTTATAATAAATTATTAAAAACGAAAAATTTAAAAACCCCTTTTTCTGTCTTTTTTTATATTTTTCCAATATTTTAAAAAGTTTTAATCATTTTGTAAGAACCAATAACTTTTAAAACCCCTTTTTTCTTCTTTTTCATAA